ATGTTCACACTTACTCAGCTTCACATATTTTATCCTGTATAAAGCCTCATCTTGACATTTCTGACGCATTCATTCTGTTACTGCTCCTGTTTTCCTGATAAAAAAGCGATTCCGTCCAAAGAAAAGCATCGATAAGGGACTGGCCCTAAAACCACTGGTGACCACCATTCCACCAACAGCTGCCTCACTTTACCGAAGTTAGGTCAAGGCCTTACATATGGCTAAAAGTTGTCTCTAGGAGTAGATTTGCTCCCCGTACACGTATAGAAACCCGTTCGGCGCGCGAACGCTTGTGCGCTACGAACACCTGTACGCAAATGATTCTTTGCAGAGGCAGGCGCTCTACCCGGTAACATTACCTACGTCACCTATTGGATTCGTGAAGCTATCAACGCTTGAAAAGCCTTTTGGACTCAATAGAGATATTCCTCTAGAAAATGCAAAAAGTAGCTTTCCTCAGGATCATTTTACGAATTGAAACAAGGCCCCTATAACTCTACCATGCTCCCGAGGGTGTTGCGTGCGCTTCTCGGCTATTCATACGAACTGACTGACAACCGCGCTTGAATTTGCGTCCTCTTCATTCAAACAAACTTTGGAGAATGGTTCTGCTAATTTCAAAGGCAGATTTGAAATCAGTGTCTAAGAACATAAGTGATCTGTACCTCATTACAAATGACTATTTCGACCTGAAGACCATAACTAGTTAGTGCAGATTGTTATACGCTATGTTCCGTTATATTCCAGGAAATTCTCGATTTCTCGAATTTTGGAGAAAAAGACCCTGCGAATATCCTTACGTGGTTCAGTGAATCCGTGCTCAGCATTGCCATGGGAGGTAAGCGACCAATCGGCTTTCCTTGTTCTCATTTCTTGCATGAAGTCATTGACCTAGAATCCACTCCTATCTGTTTTAATTTGGCTTCTTCTCCTGCTCACCTACCGCAGCGGCCGGAATATGGCTGTCGGCGTCTCCGTGGTGTACCTGGAAATGCGAATTTTTGGAAAAGTTGTCATTGTGGAAGCACGTTGGAGTGTACAGCCTTGCTTACCTGGATGGATGCTGTCATTGGGACGAGCTCTGCTTCAGGAATAGGTGTAAGGGTGCCATGGAAAGAAACAGCCGCTTTCAAGCCAAAGTTGTGACGAGCAAGATCCAAAGCGCAGAGCCCTCCGAAGCAGTACCCTATGGCTCCTATCTGCAATAGAAGAATATCTATCTTATACCTGCAATAACAGCAGTAACTTCCTTCATATGTGATCTCCTGTGAAACAAGGATCTAGTGAGCTGCTCTTCCCAGAAAGCACATCCCTTGTTTCTTACGCCCACTACCTAGGACAATCTCCGTGACTATGCTGCGGACATTTGGGCAGCGCGAAAAACCACTACTTCGGCGCATTACCATTTCCAGCTTGTTGGAAGAGTTAAGTATGCCTCCAAAATATGTCTTTCTTTCCCGCAACCAGCTGGTATTCCCTTCTAAGTATGTAGCTCTGGCAGCTTATAAGAGTTTTTTGATTACTGTGGCTGTACCACTGACTGCTGATAGTAGAATGAGTAGAATCATCTATAGCTGTTCAGCTTCCGTCCGCTGGCGAGCAGCTACAAGCGTCTTACTCCTCTACACCTCATGAAACATGGCGAATATATACTGTCAAGAAAGTTCGCCGAGAAATTGAAACTCTTTGAACTTCTCATGATTTTCTTTGGACGTGCCGCTTCTTCTGTTTATGTTCTGTTCTATTCACCAACGAAGCCATTCACCTTACTAGGTAACTCTTTGTGGGCATTTGTTATCACTCCGAGGTGCACTAGTGAGCAAACAGACTGCGGCTGAACCCTTGGATTTTTAACGATTGTCCGAAACATCCAGAGCGCTACTTGGACGTTCATAGGAGTCAAGTAGGCACGCCTGTGATCGTCCTGTACGTATCTCTCAAATTGCGCCAACTGTTTGCTAAAGTTGGTTGATATGAACAAAACTTATACAGTCTTGCCGATTTCAGCAACTCATCGCTGCTTTCATCGAGGGAATAAACTCTTTGCCGATAACTAATCCTTTTTCAAGATGTGGCACGCATTCTACTTCTATTCGGGATTGTGGAATATTGAATGCGATGGGGACTAAACAATGACTTGCGCGGGCCACCCAATGGGCACTTCAGAGTTTTTATTATCCGAGACGAATCTGATACTAATGTGCCGTCCCTGGAGTGTAGAAGGCTGGGTTGGCCTGGGAGAGAGCCGATGTGGGATTTGATCCCCGGACCATGCGCCTGGTAAGCGTGCAGCTTGCCATGCACCATCTCTGACCGCTTTGTGGGTATTGTAGTGGTGCCGAAAAGTGATCGTCAAAGGCAAATGCCGTGATAATTCCCCAAAACAAGTGAGATAAATAGGCCTAATAGAATAGATTTTGGCGCCCGTGAACAGGCTCAGCGTGACGCTTTTTTCAAGGAAGGGTACCCCTACAGCGCCCAATCAAGCTGCAACATACCGACCCGCACGCCCACCGACCCCGCCCGCCCACGAATTTTCGACCATTGTGATGCTCGTTTTGCTTCATTTGCGGAGTAAAATATGCAGTGAGAGGTTGGTAGACACGGTTGCAGGGCTCTATGGATATATGAGTATATACATGCAGCCGTATCTACTGAAGCGGGTACTGACACCATGTCATTGGTAAACTCGTCCAAAATTGCTTTCTGAGCCTTGTTGAGTGATGGCTCTTTCTGCAGGATTTGACCGTTTCACTTCGCTTTTCCGCCAGAACTCACTATATAGCATCCATACTACTTTAGACAGAGTACCAAATCAGGAACCTAATTATCGTACCTAACTCCACCAAGATTTCCTGAAAACTATGTAGTGCATTTATGCATGTGAACACAACCACCATGCTCCTTTCATATCCTACCAAAATTAGAATTGTTAGCTCTGATGAGGTTACGTTTTTGGGTGAGCTAGTGGCTGTGCGCTGTGCATGAGCCAACGGAACCTGGTTTATTCTCATCACAATGTACCCAGCTTTCATCACCGGTGAGTAAATCCGCAAAGAAGTCCTTAGGGTTTGTGCAAAAGTGTCACAAGGATGTTGACACGCGCCTGTTATCGAGCATCGGAGAAAAAAAAACCCCGCGGGAAGGTTGTCATGCACTTGTGTGTTGATAGCTTCTATTAGTGAATGGGGATTTTTCAAAACTTTGAATTTTTGTCGGCGAACTTACCTGTCAACCTAGTAATTTTGTTCTTGTTGCCATAAGGCGGCAGTTTGCGAAAATCCTACTATATATAATCCGCTAAGTTTGTCTGTTGGTGTGTGTGTGTGAATGTTTGTGTGTCTGTATGTGTGTTTGACCGGAAATTCATAACTTCCTTCAAAACAGCGATTGTGCGCTCAAACTGATAAGTGATGTAGGAGGTCGGGCAGGAACACTATTGGTAGGTGGCAGGAAGTGATAAGAGCTGATAAGATAACATAAGGAGCCTTAGAAGGGAAGGGCCACTAAATTCATAGCGCCGGCCACAGCAACGTCGGGACGTTGGTTCCAAGCAGTAAGATAGGGGGCAGGATGGGAACATTATTGGTGGGTGGCAGGAAGTGATAGCGGCTGATAAGATACCATGAGGAGCCTTACAAGGGGAGAGTCACCAAATTCATAGCGCCGACCACGGCGGCGACGGGACGTTAGTTTCAAGAAGTAAGATAGGGGGCAGGATGGGAACAATATTCATGGCTGGCAGGAAGTGATAACAGCTGATAAGATAATATAATGGGCCTCAGAAAGGAAGGGTCACCAACCTGATAACATGCTTCACAGCGACGCTAGAACGTTGGTTCCAAGATGCAAGATAGTGGGCAAGATGGGAACATTATTGGTGGGTGGCAGGACGTGATAACAGCTGATAAGATAGCCCCAAAAATTCACAGCATAGTTGTGGCATTACTGGACTATTGCTTCCAGCAAGTAATTTAGAGGTGCTTAGGTAACATTAGTAGTGGGAGATAAGTTCTGATAGTGTCTGACAAGGGCTTTTAGGAGTCGTATAGCTCAAATCACCGCGGCCAACGAATCAGTGGGCAAAGGTTCGGTGAGCCAACATGTTTCTATGTTTCTATTCCTTGGCGATATAGTCGGATTTGATTCGACCGCTAAACTGTAGAGTTTCAACAAAAAGTAAAAGCCCCGAAAGCTGCTCAAATGATGTACTAGGATGTGTGGACATTTCACCATGATATCGATATTATTACCCTCGATTCAACCGCTAGGCTGTCCTATTTCCAACGAATGGCGAGTGTTGTCAAAAAGTGATAAGCGCCAGTCATTTGTAAATGTTCATTAAAAGGGAAAAATACGATGAAGTTGGCCGTATTCCGAAGAATGGGAATTGGGCCAAGTGTTGTGCTCAGCAGAAAAACCCCCTGATCAGTACCTTAGGTTCAACCATGCGCGCAGTACTGCGCGTTAGCCAAACTGGTGATTTCAATATTTTTACCATCGGAATCCTTCCAACCGCTATGCTGTCCTATTTCCAACGAATGGTGCTTTTAGAAATATGATAAGAACCTAACATTGGCAAGTGTTCATTAAAAGGGAGAAACATGATGAAATGGGCCGTTTTGACAAACATAGGAATTAGGCTAAGTGTTAGTGCTCAGCACAGGAATCCTGTCAGTTATCAGTAACAAAGGTTTAACCTGCGCGCAGAAATGCGCGTCAGCCAGACTGGTGATTAAATATGGTAAAAAATGAAGGTGTATTGCTCCTGGGAGTGTTAATATTTTTACGTTGTATGTCTAATTTTTTTTCAAATATTCTAATGTAACAGTTTCATAAATTGAGCTGAATGATAGCTTCTCTTCAACTTCTTGTCTTTGATAAAGTTTCCATAGCTCCCTTATGATCACAATATCAACAAGAAAACACCTTTGAGAAGTACCTTATTTAGGACTTACCCTTTCCGGATCTACTTCAGGTAAACTGCGTATGGCTTCGACTGCAGCCAGCAGACGTTTCTTCAGAAGGCCCATTCTGTCAGCTACCAGCGGTTTCATTAAAGCAAAGTTCTCCTGCACAGTTCCTCCTTTCTTGTCTTTTCCATAGACATCGGCTGCAAGGGCGACGAAGCCCAACTAAACACAATTGGTTCAATGTTAAAGCAGGGGCAAATAAAAGAAATAAGGAACAACACTAAGAACGGACTTCAAGCTGACTGTTCAAGGCTATGAGGAAAGGTTCAATCCATACTGGCTGAAGAGGGTTTCTTATTGATGAAAAGGATAATGCATAGTCTTCGTCACTGATCAATCCCTTTTCGGGATGCGGCACGCATTCTACTTCCATTCAAATCGTAGTGGCTTATTGAATGCGATGTGGCCTATACAATGACTTGCGGGGCCAGCTGATGTCCGTCGGCGCTGTTTATCGACGGGGGGGGCATTTTGTATTATAATTGCTTCCCTGGTTCCGGTTTACAAATCTCACTCTGGTAAAACTTGTGAACGCTTGTGAAGCTGGAGCAAGATCGTCTAGCCACCATCCTAAAACGTGTCAACTCGAAAAAAGGGTACCTAGATGGGTTGGCAAATCTATGAAAAGCAGAATGCCCCCGTCGATAAACAGCGCCATGAGTCCGTGTTCCTATCCTCCACAATTAATTATGGTACCAATTCATAGTCTCTGGGGTAGAGGGCCTGGTTGGCCTGCGCGGGAGCCGATCCGGGCTTTGACTCCTGGACCGCGGGCTTTGTGAACCAGCCACTTGCTTTTACACCAGCAAGCCTTCGGTTGGTGGCTTCAATACCCGTAGGTTAGTGGCTGCACCCAACACGAAATATGCCAAACTTAAACTGCAGTAGAACACGGCAATTAGGGGAGAGGCCTGGATGCTAGGGCTGGATCCTCTTTCCTCCATCCTCTCGCGTCGATCTATAGAGTACGAGAATAGTGCGACTTATAGTGGAATGTGAGCTCTTCATACAAGGAACGATGTCAATTTACAAGTACATAATGGTACACTGCGCAAGTAATTGGGCACTCGCAGACATCGTTATGAACCCGCTATTCCTATACCAGAGCAAAATTTTATGCGGGGAGAGACTTGTCAGTTTGCATGCAATTATGCCCAGTCAAAGTCGAAATCGCTAAGCGCGACGTGCTGGTGGTATGGGAATTCAACCTCCAGATGTTTTCCTGAGTTTCGCTATTTTGCTTGACTGTTCACGAGGCTCTGCTTTCCTCTGTGCAAGATTTTTCGCTGCTCGAGTGGAGCACGACCGACTTCGATCTCAGGCGCCGCCTCATGCGATCAGGGTCAGTCGTCTCCCACAGCTGGCAACGGCGCCATCGGACAACACCAATATGTCGTACGATGGCAAAAGGGGACTTGTGCTTCCTGATCTTAGCGGTGACGGACACTGCCGAGATAGACCCATGTCCCCATCCCCTCCCCGACTGGGAGTGGCCTTCTCTTCTTTCATGCCCAACCTAACCCCATGCCACCAGCTTTAGCAGTAGCAATATGTAAAAAACGTCGAAAAAAATTTCCTTAACATTACTACTTACATGAAACTCTAGAAGCTTCATTTCTATCAGGCTGGAAAGAAAGTCTTGTAAATGTTTTTGAAAAGCTTACAGTTTTTGATTCTCGATGCTTGAACATGAGGTAACATGTTATGCTTGTAGAACATTCTAGAGCTTCCCTGCAAGAGGTGTGTGAGGGCGCCTGCTCTTCCCTGGGTTTAATTACGAT